CAGCAGGAAGCTGGGGTGTGGTCTGCTGCTGGGCCCCCTCTGCTTCCTACAGAAATAGCAGCAGCCAGAGCGTCCATGTCCGTCCCCGCTGGGCACGGGAAGGATCGGGCAACAGCCACACGTGCAGCGGGCACTCACAGAAGGGGACACTCAAGCTTGGGGGGCCTAGGAAGCAGGCGGCCCTCCCTCCAAGGTCATCGCCCTTACTCCACTGGCCGGTCACCTTGCTGCCCGCTGCCCTGGAAGTTCTGGGCAGACCTGCCCTTTTCTCCGGGGCGGCCGGGGAGGGTCACTGCAAGGCAGTTCTACGTACAAATATCCTCGGAAACACCACCCAGAAGACCAGGAAGTCACGGCCTCGCAGACGAGAGGCCTGGGGACCGTCCCAACCCTCAGCCCGGGTGGCCGCCTTTCCACGTGCGTGTCTGCGTGTGGTCTTTGTAAATAACACTGCTTACAGTCTCTCCCTAGGGATTCTGACGCACAAAGAGAAGGTGGTGACTGGCGGGCGACATCTGGACGGGTCCCAGGGCCCCCACCTCCTGGGCTCCCATCCCTGTGAGGCCCCTCCCCCGTGGCTTCGTCCAGACCTGGTGACTCTAATGGGGAGAACGCAGCCCCCGCCCAGGTGAGCGCACAGGTGGCGGCTCCGTCTCGCTCACACTGTCACTCTGGCTCCGAGGCCACTAGCTGTCACTTGGGGAGCAGCCCGATGGGGCAGCCCCGTGGCAAGGGGCTGAGGCGTCCCTCCAGCAGCCCGAGGAATTGAGTCCGCCCACGCCCCACGCTGCCCGGAGCTGGTGGAGCAGAGGGTCCGGCTAAGCCTGGCAAAGTCCTCATCCACAGGGACTGGAGATGACAAACGTTTGCCACCGGCCACTAAGCTTAGGGGTGATCTGTGACGCAGCAGCTGGCCAAAATACGGCTACTGAAGAATACGGCTACTGAATAAAACAGCCACACACTCAGCTGTCACGTCCGGAGGAGTCACTTTTCCTTCTCCTGAAATCCGGGTTTGCAGCCAAGCACGATCATCCCTACTTGGCTAGGGGTGAAAAGGAGCGTGCGTTTTAATAGGACTGGCAGGAACCCTGGTCGCCGCTAAGTGGGTCCTTTCTCACACAGGGGTGAAGGGAAGACGGACACAGGGCCACACTGCGTCTTAACTGCGGTAATAGTTTATTTATTAGTTTATTTATAGTTTGGACAAAGGCGAGAGCAATCCTGAGTAGTAATTACATAAAGGACGTTGTGGCTACACTACCAGTAACGGGACGTCACCTCTGCAGAAGGAGCCCCCAGAAACGCTCCCCGCGCACGCAGCGCTGTCCAAGGCTCAGAAAGGGCGGGCCGCACGCAGGCACCTCCGGCCGACGGCGGGGACGAGCTGGGGGACCCCGCGCCGCCCCACGCGGCCCACGGCAGCCGGGCTCACACGTGCTCCTTGTCGAACTCGCACATGAAGTGCATGGTGATGTGGCAGTCCACGTCGTTCCAGCCGCCGGAGGCCACCATCTCCACGCAGTCCTCCTCGTCGTAGGCGTTGTTGGGCTCGCCGCTGCGCCACTTGTGGAAGGTCTGCATGGGCGAGCGGTCGGAGTAGACGAAGCTGCCCTCCCGCTCCAGGTCGTTGATGCCGATGAAGACTCGCGCCAGGCCCGCCTGCGCGATGTAGGCGGCCATCAGGCCGTTGGCGGCCTCGTCCTTGGGCATGCTCAGCGTGCCGCCCCGGCGCTGGCAGGACAGCTGGGCATCCGCGTAGCGCTTCTCCTCTTTCACCAGCAGGTACAGCTTGTGCTCCGTCTCGCGCACGCCGGCGACAGCTGCGGGGGCGGGGTGCCGGGCAGTGAGCGCTCGCATCTCTGGGCCTGCGCCCCACCCCCGGGCAGACACCGCAGGCAGCA